TTTCTCAAACAGAAAAGTTCATCAGACAACTGAAGACATCTAACTAAAATACTCCAAATGGAATTCAACAGTATAAGTCAATGAGTATACAGTATCTCTGCTGGGTTTAACACTATTCCAGATTTATATAGCGATATTATGAATGCAGCTGTCTCCAGATTTAATGGGTCATTTCTCCTCTCTGTAGCTATCTTACTTTCTAGATGAGAAAGGTTTTAGATGATCTATTCTGATAAGAGATATGCTGTTCGCTAAAGAACAATTATGAAGAAAACTCAGCAAATGAGGAAAAATAGTTTATCAGCTCAATAAAGCTGCTATAAGGCTTGCCTATTGTTTTACCTAATGTATTACATAATGTATTGGTCTCTAGTCAGCCCTGTCTGGAGCATCACAATAAAACAGAAGGATAAAGCCAAAATATAAGATCATATTCCAAATTCACAACACATTCCCTTCAGAAAGGCAGCTGGTTGGAAAGCATTATAAATAAAGAAAAGTGTTGATAAAATTATTATTCTCCTTCACATAATATCTTATGTAAATATAAACAAATAGAAACTGTCTGTGCAGGATTTCTGTCAGACCTTTCGCCAAACACACAGGAGAGTCCTATGTGGTATATCAAACACGTGAATAGCACGAGTTACTAAAAATGTAGCCACTCAAAAAGTCACAAATCATTAGAGGCATTTTACACTAACCAGAACACATAATCTGATAGAACATTTCTGGAAGTGTAAAAAGGTCCACATGAAAAAGCCCACTCGGATTCAGTACTTATTCTTTGTGATTCTACAAATACTGAGATATTTACAGCTTTGAGAGTGGAGGAATATATATAATGCTAGCACCTCACAAGGTGTCCTTTCACAGTGACTTCATGGTGTAACTCACTGCCCCTTCCTTTAACTCCAATGTATATATCCTAATTCTCCTCAAACATGAATATAAGATATAATGTTATATTTGCTGTAGATATAGATTTACAGCTACCCACAAGCCTCATCCTTTTTTACATTCAATTCTATTTGAATATTGTAAAAACTATGTTTACACTTCATTTTACTCTTCTTCTTACAGAACAGTAGAATATGGAACTAAAATTTCTTTCATCTTACTTCTCTGACCACCTTGAAACATGGTGATAACTCATATTCTGAAACAGTCTAATTTGCTCCTCTCTGATACAGGAATGCTTCTGTCACAACAGAAGACAAAAAATTTCAAATAACAATTCCCTGGCGCTTCAGTAATTTCTTGCAAAGTATTCCAAAACATAGAAAAATTAAATACTTCACATAAAAGTCACAGGCATTTATTGATCATTATGAAAATCACTCCCACAACACGTGGGAAAATATTGAAAGTAACTATCCTGAAGAGACTATGGACTACACCAAACTCCAAGATGAGGAAGGTACATAAGAGAACCTTTTTATTTTGCTTTCCCACAATAGCAACAACTCACTGTTGCAGTATATCTTTTGCCTTACCCAAAAATGCAAATGCTCACTGGCACCACAAGTTACTTTAAAAGATGGTCTCGCAAAACAGTGGTTTCCCCTTGTGAATAATTGTCACCTGATGATCCCAGACAAAATATTCTCATGAATGAAAGATTACTATTACACACAAAACAACTAACTTCTAAAACACTGGCTCAAAAATACCACATTTTCAAGTACTTCAGGTACAACTTTAAAGACTATATCTTTGATTATCTTCCATTATCACCTTACCTTGTTTGACAACTGAGGAGCAACATCTCCCTGTTATTAATTAAAACTTGTAGCAGGACCAGAAAGGCTTTTGCTCGAATGAAACTTGAAGGACTTTCAAGTAGACGAGTAATTGTAGTCACAAAATCCTTGGTGGAAATAAACACAAATACATTAAGGTTACTCGCACTGCACTGTAAGACTGTATACATTTAAAGTTTGCTTATTTTCATGTCACTCATAGGAAAAAAATCCACAAAACACTAGCAAATAAATTCTGTCCAAGACTGATTGGCCCCGTGTAAAGCTGCTTTGAATATCTTCACATGAGGTAGAGTAAACTAAATCCACTAAATCCAAAGTAGTACGGAATTAACTACAAAAGATGATAAAACATATCTTTTTAAATGGCTTACCTTATGCATAAACATAGGATATTTTAATATCTTTATTTTAAAACAAAGCTGAACTATTTTCAGAATACATACGTATTTAAGTACAAACACGATTAAATTTTTTAGCTATTCATCCCCTTATATGCAGGAATATTAAAAACTACACCTTAGTTGGATACAATCTTGTCTACATCAGACCCCAAATTATACACCAGATGCTCCAAATACATGGTAAAATTGTTTCTACCTTCTTTGATTGTTCTTATCTAATCTAGTTTTATTTTGAGTTCAGAAAGTGAACAACATCTTTTCAGGGAAGAAATAAAATTAGGACTTAAAAAGAAAGGAGAAGGATAAAAAAAATCAGAATTTAAAACTGAGCCAGAATTTACAAACTGTGTCAACTGGCTCTATGCAAAAATTTAGACTGAGCACAAATGGCCTCATCAATGGAACCTGCCTTCAAACAGTTGAGCTGGATTCTCAAGGGAGTGGCATTATAGGATAGACAAGCAGTGTATGCATGTTGTGGGCAAAGTTAAAAATCCTGCTGTGTGATGCACATTTAACATACATATTACTGTTCTATTTCCTCATTTGCTGACAGAATAACTGCAAATCAACACTGACTGTAATTTATTAGAGACACTCTTTGCAACAATTTACTATACATCTTTACCGAGAAACAAAAAAGAGCAGGAGTGTAAGAGTTCCCCAAGAAACCATCAGATTTTATTCTGACACCATTTTAACCCTGTCTTCAAAAGCAGTCATCATTTAGTAAGCACAGAAATCCCAGAAAAACAAACTGCTATTAATTATTCTAGAACTGTTTTGCAGTACTTTAACAACTAATTTCATAAATAGAAGAATTTCTCAGTCTTGGGATTTAAAAGATTACTGCTTTAAACACTTCAATAGCTCACAGAGCATGACTTGTAGCTCATCCAGTATAAACTTGTAGCAGTCAAGTTCTTAAATTACAATCTAATAAATACAAAGCTTGAATTTTAATTAAGTGTGGTTTGGTTTATCAAGGGCTTTTTTTTTAGTGAAATTACCAAAACAACAATAAGAAGAACAAAGGTTTTATGTTCAGAAATCCCATAAAACCTCAGACATAGTCGAAGAGTATCTATAATGCAATACTGAATGTGCTAACATAAATGGACTTGATAGACCATGCACAAGGACACCATGACAAAGACACATGCAACTACAAGCCAAAGCACATCTATTTTTAGTTCTCATACTCTGGAAAGCAAGAATATTTCAATGCTACATGTGGGTTTTAACATGGGTTAAGACAATTAAAATTAGTTACATCAGACTTATCTGGGAATGTTCTAATAATTTGGTTTAAGAAATAAATGTGACCTGTTGGAATTTGTTTTTCTGGCTGATTTGACTGACAAATACATTATTTACAATTTCTCTGTTACATTGTTCCTCCCTCCCCTGCAAATGTTTGATGTATCCATGGACAATCTGCAGGACAGGACACTTTGCATTTCATGTGAACACACTGCAACATGATTATGACTTTATATTGGATACACTGAGTAATACTGCAAAGCAAGTTTAAAACAAAAGCAATGATGTTTTTGAATTGGCTACAGAATAGGAAAACAGCTAGACTACTATCTCACTATACAAGAATAGAAATTACAATAGCAAACATTTGTTGCATCGTTATGTATTTTCAAATTTCCCTTCTATGCTTTGCAAATGCCTCCATATTATGTCTAGAGTTACAAAGATTTTGTTAAAAATATTATCTTTTTATTAATTCATACTGATATTGACAAAATTATTATCTACAGTAGTAGTTACTTGTCCACATTCAGGTAAAAGACAAAGAATTGAAAACAGTTACTGAAATATAAGGACAATGCTTATAATATATTTACAATGCAGTTGTGAAAATACATTGCTGTAAGTATTTGAATAATTTTACTTATGACTAGTTGAGGAAAAAAAGAAACCAAATAAAAAACACTCTGCCGCATTATCTGACCTCTGGAAGAACCTAAGTGCATTCAAAAAGCTGTGACTGATTTCACTCATCCAAAGGTCAATCTTGACAGCCAGATGAAAATAATTAGCAATGGGGTTTTTTTAATCTACTGCTATAATGTGTTCAAGATTCTTGATTTTGAGTTCTTTTTCCAGCTTTATTTTAAAAACATCATTTCAACTATTTTAGTTTCCAGAACAGGAAGCTAAAACGGAAAGTCGCTGTATCAGAAGGGGACAAAGCCCAAAGCTCTCTGAAGTTTTGTATTAGTGTAGATGATCACAGAACTGCATTTTTGGCTTTTGTTTTTTAACTGTTTTTTATTGCTGTTCTTGAAGACTGAAGAAAACAAAAGCAGTCTGAAGTCTTACAAGCTAAGGGTGTTTCCAGATAACATCCACAAAGCTAAATTATCTCCATCTTGAATTTATATCTTTAAGTATCCTTTAATATGTTGTTTGTGCCTGTATTAAACAGATAGTCACTTCTTTGTCACTACCTTCTGTGTGACACTGAGGTCCTTCTGCCTCTTAAGCTGAACTAAACAAGAACTTTACAGAACGCAAAATAATCTGTAGGCCAACATTACTCAATCTTCCTTTCTCTCATTAAGGTGGGCTTGTGCATCATGAGCATGAAATATTGAAAAGTGCATGGACTATTAAATTCAATTTTCAGCTCTAAAATAATACTGCTCGATGTGATGTGATAGCACCTGGTAGCTCAATACAGGAGCATGTTTGTATGTTTAGATTCTATTCAAGAAAAATAGAAATTTAGTTTCAGCTTCCAAAATCCTACAATCAAATTTTCAGATCACAGAACATTCTGAGTTGGAAGGGATCAAGTCCAGCTCTTAAATGAATGGCTCGGATGGGGATTGAACCAACAACCTCAGTGTTATTACCACCAGGCTCTAACCAACTGAGCTAATCTCATTCCAAAAATTCCCCCATTCTGTGAGATTTAAGTTTGTCTGAGATGTAATGTGGGTACAGTTACCAAATGTGGGCACATGCAGTAGAACCAGACCTACTTTATCAGTTTTTACAGTATAGTGTTTTTTACGTACAGCTTTGGGCACTATTCCCACTTCTATCATTAGTTTGATATATGCTACTAAAGGAATGTCTACGTTTGTCTTATTTCAGTTTTCTAATCTGCAAACTTTGATTACAGTTGTTCATAAGAACTGCAGTATCAGAAAGGGAATTCTAGCAATTCTCCATAAGAAATTCAGTATCAGTATGGGAGTTCTTTCAGCAATGTAAGTCCTATATAAACAAGAAATTTTTCACAGAAAACATTATGCTGTAGCCATAGGCTAGTTGCACATTGCATTCTTTTGCTGAATGTTCAAGTGAATAAGTTTTGACCATGCTCATCTGACTATACCATCAACTCACAGTAATGTGCACTTTTAGTGCAACATTACAGGACAATTTGCCACCTGTTAGTGCCGTTGTTGTGGGATCTGGAAAGTTTAAGGCCAGATGACATGCACTCACAAAAACACACTGGCAATTTTTACATGCTACAGAAATGAATTTTAGGAAGAGAATGAGTGATTTCAGGCCACGTGGGTGGGATTATTTTTTAATTTAAATATAATTGTTTAAACAATATGTAGGGAAACAAGAGCTAGAGTTCCTACTTTCTTTGTGATTTTTATCCTTTCCAAACAGAGGGAGATTATTACTTTCATTTATGAAATATGCAGATATACTGCCAAAAAAATAAACACTTTTTCTCTAAATACAAAATAGTTTGGAGATCAACATAGAAAACTTCTAACCACTTGTACCAAAAAATATATTAGACAAAAATCAAAACCAGTTGTTTAATTCAGTGATACTAAAAAGAAAAACCTAAGGTATTAAAATGCTAATTTATGCAAGATATTTCACTTACAAACTGGCCTAAGGTCCTTTAAGGAGAGCACAAAGTACAGCTTCAGATTTAATCGGGACACTCCTTACTTTCTCTTTTAAATGTCTAAAAGAGCTATGTCAAATAGCTGTCCTTACTGATTCCTTACTGATTTTCCTTAGGGCCCATTATCACTTATGGTCATGCTAGGATAGTCTAGATTGATTGAATCCTAGAATTTATAGACCCATTAGTACCATTTCTCAAAGATATATGAGAGAAAGAAAAACGATACACCTTGTAATTTAGACTTTAAGCAAATAGATATATAAAAGAAACACATTACTCATTGCCTGCTATTCAGACATGCAAATGTCACTGACACGTATTTTGAAAACCCAAAATGACTAGCAGTGTCAACTTTAACTTTTCCTTCCATGAAATTCCATGCCAGTGAAATATTAATCTGAACTCAAACCTTTTCTTGAATTAGCCTCTGTAGATGAATCCCACATGACAACATTGCTGAAAACATCGTGAGCATGTACTGCTGAATTTTGCATATTCCATTTGCCAAGGAATTCAGTACAGCTGTTAATCCCACTTTTTCAATTACACTCTGGAAAGCATTAGGTGAGGAACGAGTAATTCTGCATAAGGCCTATAAAAGTGAAAAAAAAAATTAATGAGACTATTATCTCAAGAAAAAGAATGGAAAATAAAAGCATGTGGCGAATTTTCCAATAGTTTAGGAATATAAGGAATTCATACAGACTCATTCATAAGACAAATATTAGGGGAAAATTCTGGAATTCTTCTAAATATATTGCTATACACTCCATGCAGCTGAAATTCAAATATTTCATACACCAACATCTACATCAGAAAGTCACATTGCTCTTTTCCTCTAGAGAACAATAATGATGGAGCATCACAACCCACGCTTGAATCTTTTGTCAAGCATGGAATATAAACAGCATCAGATAACACTGTGCTAGAAAGAAGTGCAGGGAGAGAAAATACAGACATGGCATACACCACAGAAATTACGGGCACTCATAAAGGTGGGCATCTTCTCTCTCCCTGCTCTTGGACAATAATGTGATATGTAGTATTTCAGTGTCTAAAGTCTGTCCTTAGCTCTAGATACTATATCAGATCTAGATACTTATTATGAAACAGTGGTTAATATAATAATTGCAAACTATTCTCCAAATGGTTGATTTTCAAATATCAGTGATTAATAGAAAATGTAGATACTGACCTTGCTCAAGTGAAGTGAGCTCAAACCTGTTCAGTGTCTACTAACTTAGCTATTTCCTAGCAAACATTACCAAACAACCTTCAGGGCGGCTTCATCTCCAAATCAATTTCCTTTTGATACCCGTGAAAATGCAACCTCCAAGATACTACAACTGCATTTGTTCTCTCCAGATAAAGAAAATAAGACTCTTTAAACCTTAAAAATTTCTTTTTCTTTGGCCTGAATATACTGTTAGCATAGAAGAACAGCTTATGTCAAATATTGGATTCACATGAAAATCTGAATTGGTTTTCAGGAATAGGTAGGTAATATTTATGATTTCTTTGTTCTCTTCAGACCAGCTATATTTAGAAATTGCTGTTTACTTGGTGTGCACTCAAGGTCTCATTTAAGAGAAACTATAGTCAATTACACAGAATTCAGAGGTTCAGAGAAAAGCTTTCCATGTAAGAACCCCAGAAACAGTCCAGTTCACCAGTGCCCATAGAAACATTACTCAAAACAAACTAGAAAAGAAGAAAAAAGAAGAAAAAAGGCATAAAAGACAGTAAATCATGAACTTGACAGATATTTTATTGATGCTGTTCATCTACTCTGCTCCTGTTCTTCCTTGTCCTTTCTGGTCCAGGAACCATATCGATTGCAGCCTTTTAGTTTTCTTCTTTTATTATTTTTTTACTCTCTTTTAAAACACAGACACTCAATCTCAGTTCCTTAGTACAGCATGCTCTGTTTCCCCCAGGATACAATCCAGCTCTTCACTTCTATTCAGAGTTTTCAAAATGAGTGGGCAGGAGATGTGTATTCACTAAAAACATCCTTGAGGGTCATAGTACCAATGAACTGCTGGGACCTAGGGACAGGCTGTGCCAAAGCAACATGGAGCTAACTTGGTGTGCTAACATAGTGTGCGCGGATTTTCCGCTGCCTTAGATCTCTGCTACAGACCTTGCTAAACAAAGGTGACCATAAGTCACAGGCCAACAAATTACTTCCAGGCAAATCACATAGGAAAGACATCATAGGCTGTCTCATAGGCTGTCTTCTAGGATAATACTGCAGTTTTCACGGTAGCAGAAAAGCTCCAGCCCACCAATAGCCGAGGGGAGAAGCCTTAAATTCCCATTCGTTTATATATCACAGAATGCTCTGCTGTATGAATGGACCTAACTCTTCAGCAGAAAAGGAGAAGATAGAACTTAAATGTGGAATAGAGCACAAAGCACTCTAAATCACCTCAGTAGATCCAATATTGGGAGAGAACAGATGGAGATACATCAAAAGGTGGTGGCGCAGGAATTGGAAACAAACTATGAAAGATGTAAGAGTAGAGCTCACATCATCATCTCCAGGCATAGACATGAGCATGTGATATCATGAAAAGTCTTGGAACATGAAATGTTTTTAGCAAGAGTAAGGCTTCAGCAGAACCTCTCCTGGAATTGGTTTCTCCACCCCTGCTCTCTGCACAGCCTTAACCAGCACCTTTTCTCTCAGCAGCCTCATGATTCCTACTTCCAACCTGAGATACTCAAGGATTCTATGATCATCTCTGCCCTATCCTTCTAGTCTTACAGGCTACCTGTGACTCTGTAACATTCACCCATTCAGGATATCTTCCATGACTCTCTCAAGTTTGAGAATGAATGCACTAAAGTATCTGCAATACACAACAACAGTTTCTGAAAGAAACTATTCAATACCAATTACTTAAGAAAATAACAAAAGAAACCAAATCCCCAAAAAGACTGTGTTGACCTTTCCCAATTAGTTTCCATTTAAGAGATCTATGTTTTGTTACTTCTCTTCCATCAGAAAAAGTTATCTCTTAGAAACAAAATTTTACGTTTTGGGTTTTTTTTAGGTTTTTTTTTTAATTAAAAAACTTCCAGTATACTGGGAAGAAAATATTCTTCCTGCTGCTGAACTTGTCAGACTATTGCTTTGACATCTTAACAGATTTTTTTTTCCTGAGTCTAGCAAAATGATTAAAAGACACAGATTTCCTACAAGCAAAATCTGTGATATTTACCTGAGGCATGTTGGACTCCAAAGTGAGAAAAAAGTACTGAGCCAGTCCCCGTTTGCCACCTCTGACAGTCAGGACAAAGTAAAGTGTCATTTCTTGACTCCAGAGACTAAAGACAGAGAAACTTCTTGATATATTTTTATTACTTATTGAAATAATCCTAAGTAAAATTCCATAATCCCTTACTGCTGATACACTTTGCAGACAGACTGCTAATTCTAAGCAAAGATATGACAGATGTATTTCTTAACAGAAATGTATTTTTACATTCTAATATAGATGTCAGTTAGGAATAAATTCTTCAGGATACATTCAAACAAGGCAGGAATGACTGCATGATAAAATGAAATAGGAACACTGATGACGTCAATTTTTTGTAGTCATCCAGGACAAAAATGCCTACATATCTGTAGCAACAATTTAATGAATGTAGAAATTATACAGTACACTATAGCTGGAGAATACATTCATTTGTTGGTTTTTTTAAATTAGCATACCACTAAAATTTCCATAAACTTTAAAGTTTCTGGGAAAAGATCTTTCTGCGCTAGATTTCAATATCAATTGCTGGTTACCAGATGAAGTCAAGATTATATATCTAAATGCCATAGCAGCATTAATACATAACCATGATTTATATCAGGCATCGAGTAATAAGTTTATCTACTTCTTACTTTAGTGTTTCACTACAAAGCAGCAAAAGGATTAAAGTACCACCTTAGTGCATCCTACTTTAGAAGTTTCCTTGTTCAATTCACTTCATATAAAAGTATTAAA